ATCCCTGAACACATTGCAACGCCACCTCCACCCGACAAAGGCAGCTGACAAATGCAATAGATACTTTCATGCCCGCTTCCTCTACCAGGGCGCCAAGGAGCAAAGAGGAGGCAAAACCTGGGGGTTTTAAAGGGAGTGAGGGAGATTCCCTTGGTGATCCAGAGGGAGGCACTTCCTAGGGACTCCAGAAAAACTAGACGGTAGGGCACAGTTAAAAAAAAAGGCTCACTAATTCCCCACCTTCACCCACCCATCTTCAAATTGTTCAATGGCTTTTCATTGAATTTAGTGTAACCTCTAAACTACTTACTATGGTCTGAAAAGTACTCCATGTGCTGGCCCCTGCCCACCTCTCCCCTGTCGACTCTGTAAATCAAGAGCCGACATGGTCTTCTGGAAAGGACTGGAGAGCGTATACATTCAGCTTTGTGAGCCATCTGCCATTGTAGTGCAAAAGCAGCTACAGACAACACAACTGAATGGGTGTGTCTGTGTTCCAATGTATGGACGTTAAAACGTGTATGTCATAATTTTTGTGTACCATGAAATATTATTCTTCTTTTGATTTTTTTCAACAATTTAAAAATATAAAAATTGTTCTTAGTTCATGGGTTGCCTTTGAACTTCGAGCTGTAGTTTGCAGACCCCTGGACCAAACAGGCTAGCCTGTTTTCCTGGGTCACGGGCTTTGCACATGCTGTTCCCCTGCCTAGAATGCTTTGCCCTCCACTCTGCTTGGCTGACTTCTCATCTTTAAGGTCTCAGCTTAAAGGTTACTTTCACAGAGAGGCTTTCTTTATTTCCCCATGTCCAAATAGTTCCCCTTGGGAGTAAATCTGGTATCATCTTGCCCTTTTTCCTATAGGATATATCACTTTGTATTAATAATTAAATATTAACTTTGTGTCCTCATTGTTCCATATTTGTCCTCCACTAGATTGAAAGCTCTATAAGGGCAGGACTTATTCTGTTTGCTCACTGTATCTCCAGCATCTAGTACCATGCCTGGCACATAGGAGGCACTCAATTAATGTTTGCTAAATGAATAAATGAATGAATGTTGCTGCACAAAGTTCCCATTCATCTCAACCTGATGCCTGATGCCCCTGTTGGTGGCTGCCACCCTTAGCCATTGGGGCATGGGTGCTGTGCAGACTGGCATGTCCCATGCCTAGGTCCATATTTGGCACAGGAATGAGATTTTCTTTCCTTTCAAACGCATTCCATTTATAAATTGAGGGTTTGGAATTAGTTTAGGAATTCTTAAATGGACAATTTCCCTCATGGAAAATAACAAGGAATTTCCTAGCGATACTCACTTCCTTTTTACTACGTATTCAATATTCCTAATCAACAACTAGGTAAAGTCTCAGTTGGTGCTAACAGGTCTTCAACACCTCTCTAAATTTTTCATGGTCTCTTTTTGAACAAAGATAAAGCAAAGATCCAAGTTCAGAGCCTTCATGAGGCCATAACTTAAGACTAGAATTTAGTTATTTTAGTTTTAAACTAACATACAGCAAAAAAAATCTGATGTATAGTTCTATGAGTTTTAGCACATGTATCTCACGTCATGTAACACCACCACAATTAGCATACAGGACAGTTCCATCACTTCAAAACTCCCTCCTGCCACCCTCCTGCAGTCAACCTCTCCTTCCCCCCTTAGCCCGCCACTGATCTGTTTTCTGTCTCTCTGGTTTTGCCTTTTCCAAAATGTCACATAAATGGAACCACACTGTATGTAGCACTTTGAGACAGGCTTCTTTCACTCGGCATAATTTAGCTAGAATTTAATAACATGGCTTTTTTCCCCTTGAATGTGTATGTATGTCTATAAATATACAGTCACCGATATTTA